TTTTGCAATTGGGTAAAGATCTTGACATGTCTTGGAGGCCGTTGCTACTAGGGTGGAGGCCATCGCTTTTGGGTTCCTTTTGCAATTGGGTAAAGATCTTGACATATCTTGGAGGCCGTTGCTATTAAGTTCGAGGCCATCGCTACTATGGTGGAGTCCATCGCTATTGGGTTCCGTTTGCATTTGGGTAAAGATCTTGACATGTCTTGGAGGCTGTTGCTATTAGGTTGAAGGCCATCACTACTAGGGTGGAGGCCATCGCTATTGGGTTCCTTTTGCAATTGGGTAAAGATCTTGACATGTCTTGGAGGCCGTTGCTATTAGGTTGGAGGCCATCCCTACTAGGGTGGAGGCCATCGCTATTGGGTTCCTTTTGCAATTGGGTAAAGATCTTGACATGTCTTGGAGGCCGTTGCTATTAGGTTGGAGGCCATCGCTACTAGGGTGGAGGCCATCGCTATTGGGTTCCTTTTGCAATTGGGTAAAGATCTCGACATGTCTTGGAGGCCGTTGCTATTAGGCTGGAGGCCATCGCTACTAGGGTGGAGGCCATCGCTATTGGGTTCCTTTTGCAGTTGGGTAGAGATCTTGGCATTTTTTAAAAGTTGTTTCCTGCATAAAGCAGTTGTCTCCGTGTCCCAGGATGCGGATGTGAGGCTGACAAACCTCCGCTTAGACGATCCGGAGAGCTTTTGTCAAGTCTGATGTTGATGTTTGGTGCTGATGTTGAAATGTTTTTATAACATTTTGATATCTTAGCTGCCTCATCTACATAGATTCAGTTTGTGTTCGTGAGTGCTTGAACTTTAAGAAAATAACTGTAGTGACAATGACCAAGCTTGCTTTCGCAGGAGCTTCGACGAGAAGCAGTGCGATCGTTGCAACAGGAGCGACGCTTTCTGGCGCGCTACCGGAAAAGTGGAGACCTTTCGCTGGTCCGGAAATGGGCACGGAGCTCAGCAAAGCTGGGTGCGTCATGGCAGACGGAGGACAGACTATCAGGGGAGTTTCGCAAATTCTGAACAGACAAATTCGATCAGCAATCCCAAAAGGAACAGTGAAGCAGGCGGAAGAAAAACCAGACCTCAGACCCTGCATGACCTTGCATGATGTTGCAGGAGCAGCCACAGATCCAGGAGAAGCAAGGTTGGAGAGAGAAGAGTGCACCAAGAGCGTGCCTAGGAGTGACAAGCATACTTTCCTTTCCTCTCGTGATTTGGACTTGCAGGTCTCGGACATGAGCTGCGGGCTGCCTTTCTGGATTTGCGCCTTGAGGCAAAGCGTGCACTTGAGGCCAAGGAGAAGCGGAAGGAGGAGCACAAGGAGCACAAGTCCAGCGACAAAAGACATCAAGAGACAAACGACAACTGAAGACAAGATAAGATGACAGCTCAGACAAAAATTAAGGTTCGAAACCCAAACCATATTATACAGTCATGTATTCTCAAAGAACCCAGACTGGACCTTTCTCAAATGCATTGTTTCTGGTGCTTGAAGGATCGCATTGGCCGTGTCAAACGACACCAAGATGTGGCCATTCTTTCCTCAGATGAGGAGGCAAGGAGACATGAGGGAGCAATATTTGGGTCAATGCCAACCGGTAGTCTACCGGCGGAAAACTCGTCGATGTTTGAAAACCCTCATGCGCGGGCGTGTCTTTAGTCATGACAAAGCAAGGCCCGCCGCTTTTCGATTCGGAGCGTCGGCGCAGCAAATGTTCTTGATATGCTGTAGAGCTGCAGGCAGACTTGCTGTTGCAAACGCCTCCCCCGCGACCAGCCAGAGAGGCTGGTAATTTCTCGTGACGCATTCACACCTTCAAAGGCTTGTTGTGTGGCTTAGTTCAGGTCTTCAGTGAAGAGAAGACCATTGCAATTGCATGTGAGGCGAGCCACAGGATATATGAGGATATATGTTATGGATTTGATTCCTCGAACTTGTGTGAGGAAAAGAAGCGAGGTTCTGTCCTGTCAAAAGTTCTTAGACTCTAGACGCGCAGGCCGTGAGTGACGCGCCTGCGCACATTCGGTTTGCTGCGAAGGCCTGGGCCTCAGAGTGCCGTCAAAAACCCTCCACAGTTGAACAGCTACTGAACAACTACTCCAGTTGCAACAGAAAAATGCGGGCATCGGACACTGGCATCGCCATACTTCAAGATGGTCTTCACAGGCAGGTCTTGACAACATCCGCATCATTGACTGAGAGAGGCCAACAAGGACCACGATTTGGTCACGGTCCCATCCAGGGAGCATCAGGGAGCTGTTGACTCAACATGAGAACTCCTGCAAGGGATGTAGAGCGGCTTAGACCCGCTATGATTTTTTTTTGTTGATTTTTTATTTATATATTTGTTGCAAGGGATGTAATTCACCTGCTTCAGTCGTGCTTCCTTTTCTTCAGCTTGATCATTGCAGCACATCAACTGCACTTGCAACTTACATCCGGCCCACAGTTGGAACCTTGAAGGAGCAGATCGTAGAAAGACTCGCCCACAGTACACTGAGATACTGATTTGGTTCTATCCTGGTTTCCTTTTGCATCCTTTTGCCAGGTTCAAGACAAGTTTTCACTTTTGGAACGTTATACGGTATACGGTTCATTCACCCTTCAACTGACAAAAACGTCATGCCGCTTGTTAAGTTTATCCAACATCATCCAACATCTAGGAACCAGACCAATCACACGAGGGATTCTTTAAGGAAGCTTACTAACCTCTCCTCGCAGCCTACCCCTTCCACCCATTAGGAAACTTGGTGCGCAAACGTTCTTTCGATTGCTTAAAAAAGAACTTTTCCTTTAAATCTCCAGTCTAAAGATGTTTAAAGAAAATCCTTCAAGGTGGCCTACTGGGCAAAAGTCTCGCAGCTTCAGAACGCCTAAGTCGCTTGTTCTTGGTGCAAGAAGAAACATGTTACACGCGTCATTTTTGTGCACTGACTTTGAAATGAATCCGCAAATTTATGGTTTCTCTTTCACAAGTTTATATATATATACACGTTTACATAACTGTTTCTTGAACATTCCGTGGTTTAGTTTTCAGGCCAGTTCAGCATCATCCCTTTCCTCGTTACAGCGGGACTCAAGGAGAGATGTGCTCTCCATATGGAACGATAAGACTGCCTTGATCTACCACTGGGGAATGCTCAAACTAACTATTTCTTCTTCGTTGCCTCCATCAAATGGTCCAACATGGGTTTCTGTGAGTGTTTAGCTTGAATTTAAGATGCGGACACATTGTAGATGGGGTTTCTTAGAGTACTCTGACACCATTGTTTGGCTCAAAACATTACCGCATTGCTCTCCAAGTCCTTTTGAAAATGCGGTCTTTGGGAGAGTCCGTTTCTAAATCAGTTCAACACGATGAGGACTTTGCCAAGCAAAGGAGCTGGCTGGACATAGGGCAACACTACACTTTTTTGTTCCCTCCATAGCAAATTGAATCAGAAAATCCCAAGCTCAAAAGCAGTTCCATATTGTATTCCACTACTCCTGAACCCACAACGAGTGTGCCAAAGGCTTGTTCTACGCACTTCTATCCTTTCCCCTGACCAGTTCATTTGTGAGGTTCCTTCGGATTGCCTTAGGGTAATGGTGAGTTAGGGACTGATTCTGTTGTTCTCCAACTATCTATCCTTTTTTTGCTCTTTTCCTTGTGTATGCCCAAGTGTCCTTAGTTTGCCATGTGGCGCCCGTCAGAGAGCGCTACGGGATGGCTTGTCATAGTGCTGACAGCCATTGGTATGGCACTCTCGAACCTGTTGATGGTCTTTGCAGTGGAGTACTTGGTCCGCTTCAAGTTCCACACTGTGCAAGTGGCTATGGACAAGAGCCTTGGAAAACTAAAGTGAACATGAAGATAAGGATGCCTTTTGAATTTGACGTATGGTATTCTCAAACCAATCCAAGAGCCTTAGGGTATTGAGTCATGGGCAGGAGACGCTGGAGTCCGCTTTAAACTTTGAGTGCAACAAGTTTCCAAAATTGCAGCAACGAGGTTTGGAGTGGCTGCCGGTATTTTGGTTCTCATGGCCCTGATGTTTGTCTTTGCCCTGGTTCTCACTTCCCTTGTCCATGGACTGGCGCCCGAAGCAGGTGGTTCTGGATCAGCTGAGAATAAGGCCTGGCTGAATGGCTTCGACACTTCCAAGCTTTTCAGCCCCACAATCCTTGCAGTGCGCTGCTTGACCGCAAGCTTTGTCTTCAAGATTCTCCAAGCATCCATTCCTTTGTGACGTGCTGTCACATTTGCTTTGTGTTTTGCTTTCAATCCCGGTGCTTTGGTGCCCTGAATCCTCACTACAATAATTATCATGCTACTTTTTTGTGGAGGTAAATAGACAACGCAGGTGGCATATACAAGCCACTGCACATGAAGGTTTGAGTGTGTGGTTTGCAAGCGATGCTGGTTGTTCACCTGTGATGAAGAATGCAGACCTGAAAAAGCCTGCAAATGCAGGACAAACACATTTGCGATTCCCAGTTGCACACGTTTGTTTGTTTGTTTGTTTGTTTGTTTTCCAGAGCATGATTTTCTGTGAGGCTTCGTGGCAGTGATTTTCTCCAACACCACGGGGTTCCCTTGTGGTCGCGAAGGGCCCACAGTCGCTCTAGGCGGTGGCATGGCCTTCATACTTTGCCGATGTGACTCGATTCGATTGCAAACTCACAAAGAACGCTTATCACCCAACAACGACAGTTCTTGACTCTTAAAGGCCAGACACAGTAGGGCAGAGACACAGTAGGGGGGCAGGCTGCAGGTTCGTCTAGAGCAGGGTGCACAATGTTGCAAATCGATATCATCACATCGCCAGCATATTCAGGTATCAGTGCCAAACACAAGGAGGCGGTGGGTTGAAGTGTTGAATGTGCAAGCTTTGTTGCTGAAATAGGTGAATAGGTTGTATTAAGCTCAAGGCCGTGAAGCCTTCGCAACTGCCTTCTTTGATATCTCATGACCCTGAATCAAGGGAATCTCAATCAAGAAAGTCTGTACATTGCTGGAGGCCAGAGAGTATTTGGACATGCGTGCTGGAGCACCTGGTGCAGTGCGTATGGGTTGTATTGTAGGAGGAGCTTGTGGCATGGCAATGATCTTTAATGCCCCACTGGGGGGCATCCTCTACATGTTTCTTGGCAACGTGGAAAAACTAGCTGCAACCAACACCAAGGCACAACGAAAGAAAAGGAGTTTGTGTGTGTGTGTCTTGGCGATGCAAAGAGAAGCAAGCCAAGCATTCGTTTTACGCCAGTCCTTGTTTGCGTCTCTCCCGTTGAGCCTTTTTGTTCCTCTCTTACCTGATCCTGGTGCATTTCAACGTGGTCGCTTGATTGGATTGCAGATGATTGCAGCACTCTTGGACTTGCTGCCTTCCCAACCAAATCTTTTCGCTGTGGCGACTCCTTGAGCCAAAGCACTCACTCGGTACACAAGAACCAGAAGTCCAAAAGGACACCGCTAACCCATCTAGTAGAGCAGGACCACACCTTGCCACATGAAACTAGAACCGCGCTGTAAGCGAGGGTCCACCCAAGGCCCATCAAAGAAGACGGCAGCGCAGATGGTGTTGGGTTGGGAGTAGGCCCAACAATGTGTGACGATTGACTTCGAAGTTCCACCCTTTCCTGTCCATTTTTTGGCTACGCGGCTACACTCCACATTTATGCAGAACATTTTCTTCACCACTGGCTCATTCCATCTTGGTCTTGTTGCTGTCATGGTCCACACCATCTGCCGGCAGTAGAATTGCCGCCTGAGCTACATCCACAGCCCCTCCCGTCTACGGCGCAAGGGCAGGGCGAGGGTGAAATGCACGTTCCTCAAACCCATTCCTATCAGGATGGAGGCCATCGCTATTAGGTTGAGGCCATCGCTATTTGGCTGGAGGCCACCGCTATTAGGTTGGAGGCCATCGCTATAAGGTTGAGGCCATCGCTATTAGGCTGGAGGCCATCGCTATTAGGTTGGAGGCTATAGCTATTAGGTTGGAGGCCATCGCTACTAGGGTGGAGGCCATTGCCACTAGGATGGAGGCCATTGCTACTAGATGTTGAAAAGGACCTCTCTACTTGACCGGTTGATTTCATTCCCTCTAGCTCAAGGGTGAGGAGGGAGGGATTGTCTAAACCCGTGGATGAAAGAAGGTCATCTTGTCAGTCTCTCCCGGCTTCCGATGGTGGGCCCCGTAGTTTGGTCGTCAGTCGTGACACCTGAGTGAGAAGAGCGGTTTAGGGTTTCCTTTCTAAGGCCTGACGAGTAGGCCTCCTTTTGTTCCGCCGGTCGTCGGCGGGTGTTGGGCCCGTTGGGCATGTCGAAAGCTGGAGAGCGTGTTCCGGTGAGTCCTTCACCACCGGCTTCCCCTGAAGCGCCTTCTCAGTCGCTGCCGAGTTCGTGGCAGCAAGCTGGTGACACCGAGCCTGTGCCTGTGCAGACGCCCTTACCGCGTGAGCAGCGGTCGGACAGAGGACCCAGCAAGGTGGGTGGGCAAAGCAGAGGTCAGGAAGATCCGGTGTTTGTCAATGACCCCTAGGCCAAGAAAGAGAAGAGATCGGAGCCTCAGGTGTCCAAGCCCGATGCGTTGGACTCGGACATGAATGAGAAGAAGCAAGTGAAAGAGTCTCCAGTTGAGTTGACTCCTCTCCTTCACACTCAGTGGTGAGACGCCGTGAGAAGAGGGAATCATCGTCATCCAGTTCATCGACGGGCTCGGAGAGCAGTAGCGACAGCAGTTCCACAGATCGGCGGAGGAGGAGAAGAAGAAGAGATCCAAGCCTGCTGAAGATGTGAAGATTCCAGCTTTTGACGTGGTTCAAAAGCACCACAATGAGTTTAGAAGGGCAGTCAAGAGATACACCAAGCTCGTTGGCAGAGAAGGGACAGGCCCGGAGAGGGGCTCTTGGAGTCCAAGATACTCGTCGTCCAAGCCAGGCGAGAGCTGGAAGATGAAGATGATGACATGTTTGTCAGTGACCATGGATGCTGTTGAGAAGAGCTGGTCCAACGGTCTAAGAGTGGAGGAGAAAGAATTGTTCAGAAGATCCCTCCACATTGCCGATGCCCCCAAGCGCCTGTCTCCAAGCCAACGTGTTGGGTTTGGGTTGAATGCTGTCTATGATAGGCGGTCGGGGTCAAACCATCCGGCCAGAGGAAACTCCCGACAGGCCCTGCTGACGACCCTTCCAGAGGAAGAACTTGATTCAGAGGAGTCAGTTAGTTTTGATGATGAAGATCATTGACAGAAGATGAAGAAGCTGAAGGTGCCAACGCACCTGAGGAGGTGTTGGCGGCCATGCAATTCCTCCGCGATGCAGAGAGAAAAGGCGTCGATGTGTATGCTGCTTATCGTTCTGCCAAATCACAACAAAAGAACAAGTTCAAATCAAGAGGCCTCTTCAGTAGGGAACATCCTCGAGGGCGAAGTCATGATGAACGTCAACAAGAACTTGCCCAAGCAAAAGCCACAAGAACTTGTCGTGCTTGTGGTGCTCAAGGCCTATTGGAAAAATGACCCCATCTGCCCCAAATACCAACTGAGTCAAGCAGCAGCACCCAAAACACCTTTGCTGCCAATATGGTGTCGACAGTGTGGCTGACAAAGGCTTTGTGGTCGGAGAAGAGTCCTTGCCCTCGTCCAGAAGCGCTGGGCATAAATGGTCATGTCAGGCAATGGGAACACAAGCTGCTGGAACTTGGGGTGATTTAGGAGCCCGTTACCCGCTTGGACACAGATGGTGTTTTCCAAAAATGACAGCTCAAAGGTCTTTTGCAGCAGACGTGCCAGTGACCGTGTTTGGTGTTGGTGCGTTGCTGAAAGTGTGCGTGGTGGCTGGGCAAGCGCCACTATTTCCTAGCCTCAGCCGAGCCACTTGGAGTCGTTTGGGATTGCGCATCAACTTTTACAACATTTCAGCAAGCTCGCAACAGTTGGGCTTGCTGAATGGGCCACTGCCTGAAATCGGCGGTCATCTAGCGCTGGATCTGCTTGACTCGAATCTTGCCACGCGTGCAAGGCCGATGGGAGTGGTCATGGGACGTTGCTGACTGGATTGAATCGAAAAAGCAATTTTTCCTGATTGTTTTGAGAGAACCCCCTAGAAGAGCCGACCAATGGTTTCAATTGGGTCATTTTCTCATCCGCGTACATTTTCATCCTCGCAAAAATGTGGTTCGCATCCATAAAGGTTTCTCCACCCCCTACTCAGTAGATAAGGGCCTGCGCGAGGGATGTCCATCATCACCCCCTCTTTTTCCTGTATCATCACGCTGTGATGGAAGACTTCCGCGTCCGCCGCGCACAACAGGCAAACCAATCCGGTTACTCCCCAGGGATCCCCTGGACAACCAAGATAGACGGTAGGGTCCACCATGGATATCATAGCCGGCAACATTTACACAAAAAGGCCGAACAAACAGTCCTAGGAGACATAGGTTTTGCGGATGACACAGGTCTAGTTGGACTCGCCGCAGAAATGAGTCAGGCCGAAATCCTGTTGGAAACAACGATGCGGGATTGGCAAGAAAAGGTGCGCCCGGAAAAAACGGAAGGGCTTCGTTTGCAGACCTTCCCTCGCGCACCTACTGATGTCCGTCACAAAGGGGAACAAGCAACCATCCGTCATGTCGGGGGTTTTTTACAAGAATCCGGAAGCGCCCACACCGATACCATGACCAGAAAGTCTAGAGCCTATCACAAAATTTATCAAACAGCTAAGGCGTGGCATTTTGGGGCCCGTGCAACACGCCGGAATTTGCCGCACAGCTTACGCATCCGGATAATGAAAGCAGTAGTAATGCCGACACTCACCAGTTTTGGCCGTTCTCGAGCATGGAACCGCGAACAAATTAAACAACTTCAAACAGTCGTCAATTGGGCGGTCCAGCGCTGTTTACTTATCACCCGAAGATGGAAACGCGAGAACCACGTAAACAGCCGCTTACTTAATGAGTTAGCGCAATGGGAACCTTTTGAAACAACGATAGCGCGTCAGAGTCTGTTTTGGTTAGGGCATGTAGCGCGAATGGACAAAGCTCGACTCCCTAAACAAGCTCTATTTGGTTTTTGGCAAGACCACCTGATCAAGCCTCACGCGCCTTTCCGTCAGGGGCAATGGTTGCAGTACCTCATTGCACAGATAGATGTCAATGAATTGGACTGGTTCAGACTGGCCCAGGATCGTGACGCTTGGAAACAAGCCGTGCTCAATGCGTACCCAGTCACTAAGATAAATAAGCAGACCGAAATGGCACTCAATAGATGGCGCCCCAGCACCCGAGCCCGGCCACCCCCTGTGCAATTTCAGTTCAACCGCGAACGACGTAAGCGACACCGCGTGATGCAACCGGATCCTGCCACAGGACAATATAAATGTCCCCGCTGTGATCAATCATACGAGAAGTCTAATAGCCTCAAAGCCCACTATGAAGATGAGCATGCCGTGGCCGTCCCACATCTTATCACAGTTGCTACCTACGCATGCCCACATTGCGGAAATAATTGGCGTAGTGAAAAGCGCAGACGCACCCACATATGCCCAGTTGCGCCGCGCCCTGTCCGAGGCCCTAAAATTCACCATACTCAAGCATGTAGGCTCTGCCATGAAACATTTACCACACCTAATCTAGCACGTCATGAGGCCCTGTGTCGCGGCCCCGACCCCGCGAACCGCAAGTGTGAATTTTGCCACAACATTTTTAGTTCCACGGTTTCGCGCAAGAACCATGAAGCTAAATGTCCACAACGCGGCTAACAACAGGATACCCCCCCTCTCCTCACCCAACCGCTGTAGGTCGACTCACCCGGCACGTCCGAGGTGTCTCCTTCGGGAGGTATGGAGGGTCATGAACTACTTCATCAGTCACCTACTGGCCAACCGGACCACGTGTCACGGTATACCCCCCATTGTCTGCTCCCCACCCTCACACACCGTCACACCCCAATAGACTATTGAACAAAGGATCACGACACCCATTCACTTTCATCACCTGTGTCCACCATAGCATTGTCGGATCAAGTGCTCAGCGTAGAGTTCTCCCTCTTTTAAGCCTCGGCGCGAGTAATGGCAAAGGCAGAAACCAAGGCCCAGCTGAAGGACATGAAAAAGGCCATCGACTCTCTCCAAGAAGGAGTCACGAAGCTGGAGACCAGGGTTGACAGGCATGAGACGAGATTGGACCGGATTGAACAAAGTACACAACTGGTCGTCGAGTTTGCGCCCGACCTCGAGACGATTTATCAGCAGGCCCAAGTGACCCGTGAGTTTAAGAACCTCTGCAAAGACGGCGCAGCGGCTGTCCTGAAGGCCTTGGGCCATGTTCTGCATCTGCCCTACCCAATACCATCTGACCAATCATCATCTGACTGGCATAAGGCCAACCCCGACCCTCAAAGCTCGGCGGTAGTGGATCAATGGTATATGCTGCGCCCAGCGTTGGAACACAGTACGCGTTTCATCAGTCCCAACCGTACCAGAGGCACTTTTGACGACGCTTCCCAGTCATGGATCAGGGCCAAAAACCATTTCGTTCTCCGCCTTGAGTTTGGCTTGGCTTCCCAGACCATCCAAGATGTCTTAGCACATGAACTTGGAAAGGCCCTCCTATCTTCACGTCAAAAGGCGAAGGACGACGGAGCAGGAGACAACGATGTCATCAATGTATTCATAAATCGCACCAGAGAAGCAATCCAGAAACGCAACCGGCCTGGCCCAAAAGGCAAAGGGAAACAGCGCAAAGGCAAAGGGAAAGGCCGCGGAGGCGGCAAGGGCAACGCTCAATGAGCTCCACCCTGGTGTCACCCTGGTTCGGGATATCGTAGCCACACACACCATTTAGGTTTGACAGCACTCACTTTCTTTAGCGGCACACGTTCCTCCATGTGTTGACATGATTTCAACCCGGACCACTAATCAAACTGGAATTCACACGTTTCACCACCTTGACGCCATGTTGGACGATGGGCTGCGGATTTACAACTTTTGAGCATCTTGGTTCTTGCACTTGTTTCTTAGGCAGCCAACCCAAACATCGTAGTCGTTCGTTCGTTCGTTCGTTCGTCTCGAATCTTTCCACGCGTGCAAGGCCGATGGGAGTGGTCATGGGACGTTGCTGACTGGATTGAATCGAAAAAGCAATTTTTCCTGATTGTTTTGAGAGAACCCCCTAGAAGAGCCGACCAATTGTTTCAATTGGGTCATTTTCTCATCCGCGTACATTTTCATCCTCGCAAACGCCTGTTCTTCTCCCACAAAGCCCAGGATTTGTCACGCTCACTTGAAGACCTGTTGCCCTGGTTGACCTTGGCCCAACGTCAGGATTGCCCCCCATCAGAATGTCTGGACTAGCTTTCCTTCTGAGGTTGGGTCGTATGTGGACAGGAATCATTGTGTTTGCCACAAAACCCATGCGTGTTGAAGCATGACTGAGGAGCTGGCAGAACTGTTGAATGTTGAATTTAGAAGGTCACGATGAAGGGTCAGCTCGCGCAGCAGGACCGTGGCCATCCTCTGACTTCGCAGGCGTGTAGTGAGCTTCCCGTTCACTCCTTAGTCATCGTGGAACCCTCAGAGACAGCTGAACCCTGAAAGGAAAAGATTCAACCCAGCCATTTGTGCTTTGTACAAATCAGTTTCACACGTGGCAATGAAATCCCATATCCGGTCAACGTTATTTTGGGGACTGTTGAAAAGGACCTCTCTACTTGACTGGTTGGTTTCATTCCCTCTAGCTCACGGACAAGGAGGGAGGGATTGTCTAAACCCGTGGATGAAAGAAGGTCATCTTGTCAGTCTCTTTTGGTTTCCGATGGTTGGCCCTGCTAGCTTCAACATTATATAGATTCCTTTTGCTTGCGTGTCACAAAGAAAGCAAGCCAAGCATTCCTATTGGGCAACCAGGTACACGGAATGGAAAGCGCATGCAATTCACACATTGTACGCGCGTCGTCGAAGCGCATGCAACAGAACAGAACGGGATGTAACTGGCTCAGCTCACAACAAGATGCAACGTGATGGAACTGATGTTGATGTAAGGCAATGAAGATTGCTTCATGTTGGCCTTTGAGGTTCGAAGAAGTCAGCTCTTCGTCTTGGCCCATGGAGCTCACCTTCAAGTCTTTTGTGGGCTGTACGATTTGTACCACCCTGTCCTATTCGTTGCTGGCCGTGGTGCATCGCGGGATCCGGGAGTTCGTGATCTTTGAAATGTGGTACGGCCCTGCTGTTCAGGCCACGGTGTGAGCCGGCAAAAGGCCCAAGTGGGTTTCCCCCCCACAGGTTTGGATGGAGGCCATTGCTATTAGGTTGCAGGCCATCGCTATTAGGTTGACACACTCTTCAAAACAGCAGGTCTCCGCTTTGGCGACTTGACTTTGGTACCTAGACTTTGCCTAGCCAATAGGGTACAGACCACATCCCGCAGAAGCAAGTCCAAAGATGAAGGTTCGATCACATCTGATGAAGTACAGAAAATCAACAGGTTTACTCGGTTTACTCCAAATGGAAAGTGTTCTAGAACGATACACATATACAGATACATATATGGTTATATATGTATATATGTATATCTATCTACCTATGTATATATATATATGTATGATTAAATTACATTGTGTCGCTGATATGGCCTCGGTGGGCAGCAACCAAGATAACAACAAGACGACATGTTTCTTTCCAATTAGACCAATTGGAACCCGCCAGGATTACCGGGCATGTGACATCCTGCCTTTCATCATATTGTCGGTGCTCTTGGGCCGCTTGCTCTGGGGGCTGTGAAGTGTCCTGGTGTCCGATGTGACTGGTGAATGTCCGATCACTTCCTGTCCTGTCCGATGACATATGTCCTGCTTGGTGCATTGTGTTCCAGTACTGTATCGGGCGGGTGGCCTTTCTTTGTCAAATCTTTGGCTCAGGTTTCCTTGCCCCTCTTCACACGATGCTGTGCTTGAAGGTGCAGGAGATGAGAAAACATTTGCAGAGCGAAACTGTGCTGCGCAGATTCCAGCCTTGGGCGGCACGGCTTCAAATTGCCAGGTCTGTTTTGTTTGGATTGCTGTCGTTAAAGGCAGAGTCAGAGGCCTCTCCCAACTTTGGCGCCCAAACCAAAAATGTTTTTATCGTGCTTTGTACTTGGAGGCTTCGTTGTCAACGAAACGACAACTCCCTGGAATTCAGTGTTTAAACATATATATTTTTGCACTATGGCTGGACTGCTGGGCTCCAAACTTTCTTCCACCGCTTCTATTGCGCGCACTCCACGCAGGCAAAGATGATAGACACGGTGCTTTTCGCAATCCTTTGCGCGGCGGCTGTGGGGCTTGCGAGTTTGTCAGGAGAATGTCATGAGATCCCGGAGCAGAAGCTGCAGCAAGATCTCAGCTATGTCCAATTCCAATGTGAAGACGCCCAGCCATTTCAGACTTTCTGTTGCTCGTTCATAGCACACTCTGTTACATGATTGTTTGCCTTGTTTAAGATCATCCCGACTAATGGTTGGCAGTTTGGGGTTGCTTGGCCTCCCTTTCCATCTTCAGCTTTTCCTCACCTTGTTTGTGGTGCTTGCTTTCATCAGGGTGACAAGAGTTCTGCTCGGTTGGCCTTGTTCGGCTTCTGGGTCATGATTTGTCATGACATGATGTGTAGAAGCAGGATGAACAAAGTATCTCCTGCATAATATGTACAGCAACATCTCGCAACTCCTAAGGAGGGCTTCTTCAATCCAGTAGCCTCCCTGTTGCTTACTACGCCCGACGGAGCGGTGAAGATGCTCTTCAATCGGGATAATTTTGATACTCAGTCGCATGGATGACTTGGTTTGCAGATTCGAAAGTGCTGAAACCGTCTGAAACCCAGTTTTCAATTCTGCTGAAGAGCAGTTATTTGTAGTTGCTTTTCGTGGGCATAGAACTTGGCCACAGGTTTCTTTGCCGTTTGCGCTGTGAGGAGTTTTTGGGTTTGGCCTCCGCGGTTTCGTTCTTGACATACTTCACTTTGAACGTCCTCTTCACTGGAGTCCCTGTGCCTACGGGTAACTTTACGGGGGCGATGCTGATTGGTGGCATGGCTGGGCGGCTGATCGGCTGTGTGCTGGGTCATTTGCTGCCACAGATGGACTTCGCACCTCAAGGAGAACCAGAGAACTGGAGCGACAATCTGATTGTTATTTGGACGATGTTTTAGAAGCACAACTTTGTTTGACTTGAGAGCTTCGTTGGCAAACTGTTAGCTTTAGGTCTTAGGCCTCAGGCCGAAGTTTCTTGCAGTTTGGCTGGGAAAGGTCGTGACAATGCTTTTGCCAATCGATGTGAACCTCTCTCTTCAGGTTTGAATGACATGTTGCAGGTTTTGGTTATAAGGAACCTGGTCTTTGTAGTGAGGCACAGAGGGACAAGTGAGCCCAATTAATTTCCGTTTGGCGGCGTTCTAACCTATTGAAATCTAGTGAAGGAATTCCTTCTAGGCATTCTCAACCTTCTTCATTCTGTGCAATTGGCTTGGTTTGAAAGGGTTAAGTTGTCCATGCTCAAATGATCAATGCTTGAAGTTTGTGAATCGCTGGCAGCTTGGCAGGCGCATTTTCTTGGCACTTCACTCGTGCCACATTGCTTTCCAAGCAAAGTTATATAGTCGAGGTGCATCCACCAACTGTAAGATGTTCCTGTTTATTTCGTTTTGTCGCGGGAGGAATTTATTCCATGATTGGTGCCGCGGCCATGCTGTCGGGCTTCAAGCAGATGACCATAGCTCCTGTGATGTTCATTGTCACTGCTGCCAATAATGCTGCCTGGCTGGTTCCACCAACTAGCAAATCTTCAGAATTTTGGGAAACCTTGATGCAATTGAGGTATTCAATAGCATTTTGTAGTTTCTTACAGCAGGGAGATGCCGACTGGTCGCGAACATTTGGAAAGAGCAAGCCTTGTCTTACAAGCTTCGTGTTGCGTTGAGGGTTCTTCTTATGTAGACCTTGATGATTGTGTGTGTGTCGACTACGTCCTTGTATATGACCCATGGTCGATGATGTGAACTTGGATTTCCTTTTCAACATTACTAGAATGTAGTGAGCAGTGGCGGGGCGAAGCAAATTTGGGAAAGGTCGCTTGTGGAGCGCATGCGCGCATGGGCTCAGCCAACCCAGGCAATTTTTCCCTAAGGCTTGCTTAGGGGTTGGGCGATCAATTCCGCGCGCATTTCCGGAGTGTGTCTGGCCTCACGCCAGCCCGGAGTGAGCTCGAAGAGTGCCGTCCGTGGCCTTGCTAAGCAAGCAAGGGTTTGTCTCCCCCTCCCTGCAAGAGAGCAGAGTAGTCCACAGCGGACGGGTCTCTTGAGGCCCCTTCATTTGATTCCCCCTTTCATCTTTCCCCCCCCCCCCACACACACACTTTCTTTTCTCTTGCTTTTCATGTCTTTTCTGCCTTCATGTCCGGTCATCTCATTTCTTTTTCTCTTTTGCGCGCACACTGGTCCAGCCCTTAGCGTATTTGTGCACTTTACACGTTAACCAGGTTTTAGGTCACCTAGGTTGCTATAAGGAGATCTGGCTCATTGGTTGTCTCTGTGCACATACTTGGTTCCTTCTCAATGCTACCACATACACTTGTCTCTTGTCCTCTTCTCACGTCTTCTTCCTTTTGTCCCGCTTGCGCACACACGTGCACGGAAACCGGAGCCCCATTTTGATCTTTCACCTCCCCTACGGGTGGAACGTGTGTGAAAACCTTGGAATCATAGGTCACCGTTAGGTGTGCCTACAGGGGGTCACCCAAGGAGTTGACTGGTGATCCAACGAACAGGCTCAAGCTCCGCGCTGGTATCTGGTCTGATCAGCCAGACGTACCTGCTCTGACCGCCACTTACTTTCTTTTGGGTCCCTTTGTCACTAGAAACAGCGGGCTTTGCTTAGGTTTTGTATTCTGCAGTCACGCAGTGCACCTGTTCTTTCCCTTCGGCTTCTTCAGGGTTTGGGGCGATCAATTCCGCATGCATTTCCCGAGTGTGTCGCGCATGGGCGATCGGGCGCTGGCAAACAAACTGTGTGCTTCATTGTTAACAATGACCATGTAGTTTTGTGATGCCCTGCAAGGGCCAGCCCCCAAGGAAGGTAGAAGAGTAGCAGTGCTCATGAAAACAAACTTTTGGGTTCAGGCGACTGCTGCTGCCACTGATTGCTCCTAACCTAGAAACAACAATTTTGTGAGGAGCAGTGTGCGAAACACGAAGCAAGTGAATCAGGAACACTCAGTAAACGTGCTGACTGCTCCTAGGTGGACATTGCTGCCCCATTGATGATGGCTGTCAGCATCAGCCTCTTCATCAGTCACATGGTCGCTTGTCAAGACGCGTGGGATGAGGAGCAGTTGATCCGCTGCTTGGTGGCAGCGGGAGCTTAGGTCAATCAGTTTGGTATGGAAATGCAGCTGTCGTTTGTCTCACTTTTGATGGGAGGGGCGTGGTAATGGCAATTTTGATGAACATCAAACGACAGACTGGGCCTAAAAGGAAGAAACTGAAAATCTCAATAACCGTTGGGTTTACCAAGGCAAGAAACTTCCTTATTTGCCTCCGGAATTTTGCAAAGAATTGCGCCATTTCTCTGCATGTGACTTGATGGATGAGCTTCCAGCTGCAGCTTGCAACTAGAACAAATTAGACCGCCGCCCGCCCTGAGCTTGGAATGCCTGGGTACCTGCAGTCGGCTAGATTCTAGATTTTGGTTCGTCTGTGAACCTTGCTGATGTTTATCACCTGAGTAGGGTTAAGAACTAAGATTTATTGGTTTGCCAGATTGGGAGCGCAGGTCAGCTGAAGCCCTTTGCTCTCACGTCTCAGACTCTTGAACTGTTATTCAGTGCTGGTTTGCGGGTGAACTCTGACAATCTCCAATAGTTTCCGAGGGGAGAACAGCCTCAGGCCAGGCAATGTCACCATTTTTGCCACAAGCCAGCGCCACCAGCACAGCAAAGGATTGATGAAGCACTGATGTGCTGCTCAGCACCCTGGTTCCCAATGCTCGATGGACCACGATGTGTCTCCCTTTTGCCACGCTCTGGATTGGAAAAGCAGCGGCGAAAACATTTGGGAACAGATTCGATTCATGTGGGCGCAGTTGCCCAAAGGACAGGGATACAGATGCTCGGACAGGACTAGGACATGATTGAATGTTCCTTACTGACCCCTTTTCCGCGCTTATCCAGTGAAATTGCGTTACCGTAGTAGATGTTAGTAGTTGTGGTTTCTTGGTTTGGTCGAACGCGCCCCATACCTAAAGGTTTTGTTTGGTCCTTTCATGTAGGTCTACTTGAAACCTGAAAGATCTGAAAGAAAAGCGTCAACCGTTCCTCAGTGTTTGTGAACCGTTGACGGACATCCAAGGATCCTTGAGGGCACTTCAGCTGCTTCTTTGTACCCGCTTTTCGCTCAAGCCCATCTGCAAGCCGCTTGCGTTGTGACTGCTGACGGTACCTTTGCTGGGATTGTTTCCCGAGCTGGCTTGGCAGCAAAGGCAACTGAAGTTGAACTGGTCGCTGAGAAGGGACACTTGGCAGTTAATCAGCGAGACTCTTGTTTTTGGGTTCCCGGGCTTTGGAATCAAGCTGATCCTGAGAACATACCTGCAAAGCATGTGACCGGCTTGATGCAGTATTTTGCTCCGTGAGTGGATGGTTCGATGTTGTTTGTGCGGCGGGGTTCTCTTCTCACATTCCGTGTGTTGCCGTGAACAAACGAATGTAAGGGAGGCGTGTGAAGGGAACGACCGGGAGGGCAAAAGCAGAAGCATGAAGCAGCTGAAGACAGAAGTAGCGCTCACTCCAAGTCAATGGAGCATGGCAGGGCTACTGAAACCGCGCGATTTTTAGTACAGGGGGTGGCACGAGAAATCAGGGCATTGGGCAGGAGAAGATGGTTGAACACGCCTATATAATTGAAAGCAAGGTTGAATAAGGAAATCACAGGGAAACCAAACATGGTGCAATTATGTGACGTCTTTTTGTACCTCTCTCGGTACACTCAGCTGGCTCCACCAAGCCAGGAGACTGCGCTACAGAAGCTTGGCTTTTGTTTATGAGCCTGCCCCTTTCCCTATTTTTGCTCGTGATGCTGTAGCCATTGGCCAGAATACAAAGTTGTATTTGGATCTATTTGGACCATATACATATCATTTCAACAGTTTCCAAAATCGGCGAAGGGTGATCTCAATAAAGGACATGAACAAGAAGAACCCTTACCATACCTTTTAAAGGACCTCTTTAAAGGCCCTACTTCTCTGAATATAGCGCATTTAATCACTTTTCACCAAGCAGTTTACTGTTGAAATTTTTTCTCTTAGGAAAAAGACATTGGCCACAGTCCCTGGCCGTGCCCCTCAACCCTGTCCTTTGGCCGCGGGGCGTGCCACCAAAGTCCTTGGTCCTCCTCTTGTCTGCTGGCCCCTGGCCGCGCTCGCGAACCCTGTGTTCTTCTCTTGTCCTCCTCATGTCCTCTAGCCACGCTTGTGAACTTTGTGTCCTCCTCTTCTGTCCCCCTTCTGTCTTCTGGCCATGCTTGCGAACTTGTCCTATTGCTGGCGAACCCTGTGTCCTCCTCTTGCTCCCCAAATAATTTCAAAAAGAAGGCTGGCCGATAGCCGTGACTGCGTCGAGGCCTGTTGAGGCCTTGTCCGCTGCGCTGCTGTGGGCCATGCACTATGCTTTGTCCCAGTCTGCTTGGCGCCGCCGCCTTGTCCAGGCCTTGTCCAAGTCTTGTCCGGGTTTGTCCGTCCTGCTTGTCCGTGTTGTCACCCCTTTTACCACGGCCTTGTCCGCTACTTCACAACGCCGCTTTCCCTTTCTCCATCGCATGTTCTCGCGTGGCTTTGAATGTAACAGTGGTGCAGCGTTTCAAATTTGATATCACCCTCAGATATTCTCGTATATCCCTGTGTGTTTGCAAATGCCCCCGGAAGCAGGAACTATTGTTTTCAATCAGTGCCATTCCGAAATAGCTGGAAGCTATAGGAACACAATTGCAGGCGTTGTTCCACCAGAATTCAAGGGGTTGATGGGCCCCAGATAGCAACTATATAACGCCAAGGACAAGGAAGAAAATCCATTGAGTAGCAAAACATGACCAGAGAAGCGGGGAGACGAGTCAGGAGACAAGGTAGCAGTGGCAAACAAAACGCCCATCAAACAAAACAAGCGGGGAGACAAGTGGGGCTAAGGAGACAAGACGGCAGCAGCAGCAGCAGCAGCAGACGAAATGCCAAACAGACAGGCAGACAAGGGGGGAGAGATGTAAGGAGACAGCGGCAGACAAAACGCCGATCGTGCAGACAAACAACTGCAGAAACAAGTACGGAGACAGACAGACAAGCGGGGAGAAAAGTAAGGAGACAAAGCGACAGCAGCAGACAATCGCACAGGCAACCAACTGGGGGGAGACAAGCAGGGAGGCAAGGCAGAAATGGCAGCGGTAAGCCAAAACAGAAAAAAGAACCCCTACAGCTTTCAGGGGAATAAGCGGGGAGACATGTAGGAGACAAGTGGGGAGACAAGTCAGCAGCAGAGGAAGAACGGCAAACCAAAACGGCGATCACACAGGCAGACAATTGGGGAGACATGTAAGGAGAAGTGGGGAGACAAGGCAGCAGCGGTAGTGGCAAACCAGAACGGCGACCCCACAGGCAGATAGGTGAAGAGACATGTAAGGAGACAAGTGGGGAGAGAGGGCAGCTCCAGCAGCAGCAGCGGCAAACCAAACCGGCGATCACACAGGCAGATACGTGGGGAGACATGTAAAGAGACAAGTGGGGGACAAGGCAGCAGCGGCGCAGCAGCGGCACAGCAGCACACAGCAGCGGCAAGCCCAAAACGGAACACGGGCACCCAGCCATTGAGAAGTAGAAACCCGTGCCGTATAGCTACCCTGTCTGCGGAAAACTGCTGAAACTCTTCGGGTCGATGCTGGCATAGTTTTGAGTCAGCTTCCACTCCCAGGACGACAGTGACGCTGATTCTGAGTCATCCGACAGGGACATTGCATAAGGCCTGGCTTTGAGACACTGTGTTCCGCCATGTTCCACGGTGTTTCTGGTCCCCTCCAACAACCGGAAGCATCGAGCTTCAGCTCCGATTATTCCGGATTCTTCATGGGCGATATGCAGTCAACCCACTAACTACCTAGTGACGGACCTAGTGTTTTCTGGAAAGAATGTCGGCAACCTTTGACCATATGTTGGCTTTAGGAAAGTGCGCTCGCTCTGCTACTTGCCTTCAAAGGTTCCCGATCCTTTTTTTTCAATTTCGTGTTCTTTTTGGAGGTGTGATTGCAACGCCCGGCCGACTGAAGAAACCATGGCGGTAAGGTTCGTCCTGGCTTTGCCTCGCTTGACCAACCGTGCTTGGTTTGGTAGCCAGGGTGTCCCAAAGTTTATAGTTCCACGATGTCGGTGAACGCTTTTGTTTTCAGGGTTCCTGTGTTCTATTTTCGAAGAAACATTTCGTTACGTTCATTTTTCTGGATAGTTCAATAGGTTTAAAAAGAAACAAAAGATGCAGAGGATAATGACAATGTATGACAATGCCAAGTAGTCATTAAGAAATAAATACGTTTTGAACAAAATGCATTTAAGGATTCAATCTGATGGGTCTGCTCATGATGGTTCATTTTTCATTGTTGAGCCTAGATATGAGAGTAAAGACAAAAGACTGGCAGGTGGGTTTGCGTGGTAGCGGAGCCAATGATCCCATAACGTGCGCGCCATGGCCAGCCCGGCAGAGAACCCAAGTGGTGGAGCTGGCATCGACGCAGGCCCTTGCAGAGTTGAAGAGGCAGAAGGACGATTGCAAGAGTTTGTATAAGACCCTGACCCCAAGTCAAGAGAAGAGGCCCTGGCTACCGACGCAACAGTTTTGCGAGTTATTTGCTTGAGCGAGTTGGCAAATCCTCTCACGAAAGACCGCACCATCTGCAGAATTCAAAGAAGTTTGCTTCGCCATGGAGACGGAGGATGGTCGAGAAGTTCAGATTCACGCGCGAGCTCACTTTGCTGAAGAGGGTAGCAGCCGAGTTTGTCCTTCGGCAGATTGTTGGAGGGAGGGGTGACAAGGCATGTGTTTTGGCTCCCAAGTGAGAGTGCCTGGCTCTTGAGCCGCAGAACAAAAGTCTAGTGGTGCAGTGGCGCAGGCAAAGATCAGAGCAATCCGGGTTTTCCCGTGCATGGTCAGGGCACTTGATGCCTTGGATGTGAAGCTGGGAGAACAACTCCAGGAGATCGTGGGGTTGAAGTGCACATTTGCGCCGAAGAGAGAGGAAACTGGAAATTGAGGAAATGGCTATGGCTATGCCTTTGAACCTGATGATGGAGCAGCAGGAGAAGATTGAAGGCCTTGAGGAAAACGTTCTGATTTTGCCAATTTCTCATCAGAAGAGCATGGACCAGAAGATTTGGCCTCGAAATGTTGGAGCTTTTGAGAGAAGTTTTAGCAAGGACCAAGAGAAGCAGAGAGAGAATTCGGAATTCCAGCTACAGAGCATGAATTGAACATGAGAAGGAGGAAGGAGAGCGCTAAGAGAAGGACGCCTTGTTTTGGGGCGACCAGATGCAGACACCGTCAACGTGAATGGCATGGGTCTCACCAAGGAAAGCCCACTTCGTAACTCAGAGCGCCTTGCAAGTATTTCAGCGTTTCTTAATCAAGGAGCAAGTTGACGTGCTTCCAGAGGTTGTTGAGCCATCTACATGAACGAGAGCTGAAGGCGCGAGAAAGGAGGAGTGGCCATGAAGCCCATCGACGTTCTACGTCTTCATCAGTGCGCGCAGTGAACGGGGCGGTGGCATTTGCTGCATCAAGAGGACAGAAAGTGGTCAGCTTGAGCGGTGCAGAGAGTGAGCTTCACGCTTTGGTTGGAGGAGCGCACGATGGGGTCTTCATCAAGCAGTGCCTGAGGCTTCTTACAGGAGAAGAAGTCCAGCGCATGCGTCTTCTCGACAACTCAGCAACGAGGCAGATCATGCGCAAGAGAGGAAGCGGAAAATTGAGACACATCAGCAGGAAACTTGTATGGTGCGAGGAGATGGTTTCCTCAAAGGAGATGGAAGTGAAGCACATTGGAACCATAATGTCTCAGACATTGGCACCAAGCCTTTGAGCCAACCGAGGCTGAAGTACCTTCTCTTCAAACGCCATGCCATCGATGCAGGGGGCGACAGAGTCGGTGAGAAGGAGAAGCAAGAAGTTGATGAAAAGGAGATGAGTCGAGGCAAGATTCAAAGGTTGGTCAAAGCACTCGAGAAGACTATTATGTACGTTGGGGGCCTTGGGCCAGTGGCAGCAGAAAGGACAACGATTTCCTGCGCTCGATGATGATGGTTTTCTTTGGACTTTCCCCAGTTGGACTACGGTCAAGATGCTTGAGGAGAGAATGGAACTCTGTGAAAGTTCACAGGGTGCCAAGTGAAGATTCAGTCCATAGGACTTCGAGCGGCGAGAGAGACAACAAGTGAGTTGAGAGTAGACATGAAAGTGCACATCACGTCGAAGCTCAAGGACGATGGGACTCGATGATGCATTGCTATGGCCAAAGACTTCACAGAGCCATCATGAATCAGAATGGCTATGTGCAGCTTGGAGAGCTAAGCCATTGGGATGCCCGACGCGTGAATTTCCTTGCGAAGAGAAACAAAGGGGGGCACAAGAAAGAAAGCATGGTTGATCGACGAATGGTTTGCGAGGAGAATGTGACGAGAAGAGATGTGGGTGGCAAAGAGGTCAGAGGACAGAGGAGAAGCAGGGCGGATACTCCGCCAGCCGCAGCAAGAACAGTTCATGCGGAGTGAAGAGGATCAAGAGGCGAAGAGAATGAGGAGAATTTGAGCGGTGACACGGCAATGGTGTTACTGGATGATGGAAGAGAAGTTGGAGTTCCAGTGGCGTATCTCTCACCAGAGCTGACACCCAGAATGGCGGACGAGCGGAGGTGGCCAGACACACCTCCTTTTGAACCACCAGAAGAGGAGGTTGATGGAGGAGAGCCCTCAGATCATGGAGGAGAAGCGACAGACAGTGCTGCAGTGACAAGAGCAGCGCTGGTGGAAGAAGCAGATGGCCCAATAGATGTGGCTGAACAAATGGACACCTTGCCGGCGCGAGTGTTTTTTGCAGGCAAGGGAGGAAATGTTGAAGCTGGAAGACAGCGTCGAGTTTTTTTCGAGTGATTGAGACAGAGCGAAGCTGCATGAACTCTACAAGCAACTGCAAGAGCTGGTTAACTATATCACCGACTAGCAGGACAAAAAGGACATGCAGCATCAGCTCAGCCTCCAAAGGAGGAGTGGCAAACATGTAAAGATGGACTCGTGGACATGTCTCACGCCCGACTATCGAGGCTCAAAAGGAGCGTTCGCAGAGACGAATACCAACATGTAAATGGAAGATACTTGTCCACATTCTTCTTACGCGCCTTTAATTTTAATGTCTATCTTCGCTATCGTCCTTTATCTTGTTGCTTACCTTTGGTGCGTTATCTGTTTACGAAAAATGTCTACCTATATATAATTTGAGCTTTGTTTTACCAGGTTCATGCGCTCAACAAGGGAGACCAGGCTTTCAGCTTTCCCGTTTTTCACGCACCGCCCAGGTCGCGCCAGTAGTGTCAAGCCCACCCCAGCTCAGCAGCAGTAGGTAACCCAGCCCTTACAAGGGTGTTTTCTTTAGCAAAGTGGTTTTCTCGCCTTTTGTGTGTTTGGTCAGCTTCGGTGGCTGTGTGTTGTGTTCCCTGCTTTGATTCGCTTTCGCCTGTTAGGCTGGGCAACTTCACTGGCTTCGATCGAGAAGATCCATGTATGGCGCGTCGATGCATAGAGTTTCCACAACGTCGCTTTGCTGTGAAAGACTCTTTGGAAGCTTTCGTATCAATCTTGAAACATTGAGATAGCACATTGGAACATCAATCCTGGCCATCATGGACAGCCGCGAGTTGCTCGACGATATATAACATATTTGGACACGTGCGTCACACGTTGCGGCCTCATTATTTACTAAATGCTCTCTTTTTGAGATTACGACAAAACTTCTTCAGTGGTGCTTCGTACATGTCAATTTGGGACACATTGTCACCGCAGAGTAGAGATTGTGAGGTGATCCGTGATGTGTTCGCGGAGGATGAAGTGAGCGATTGCTTTCAGGTGCCGAAATCGCAGGCAACTTAAGACCGAAGACTGCGAGTCTGCGGGAAATGGCTGCCTAGCCACGGATATCTGGGCGTCCGTTTTGGGCTGCCCCGTGTTTGAAAGCGCTATGCGTTTGGTTTGGGTTTACGCACGTTTTGCAAAAGAGGTTGTGGGCAAGGCAAAAAGTGTTGCTAGGACAGCGCAAGAAGAAGTTTGTGATGAGGATGAAACGAATGATAATGTGAATAGAATATGCTCGACTGCAAACCACGGGTGACAAGGATACAATGTACACAGATTGTATATTCAATTCAATCGGAAGAAGACATGTTTAGTCCGACAATCCCTCACCCTAGCTACCACAGGTTGGCAAGCGACCGGAAGAATTGCAGCGTTGCAAGTAGATAAAGGTCTTTTACTGCTTACATCGGTAAATCGGAAGAGATCAAGATCAACAAGGACCAAGCCAAGACCTTCGTGCGATTCACGGCCGGTTGGCCAACTGAAAGCAGTTGAGTGCCAAGCAAAGCCCACCAGACAGGTCCGAAAGGTTAGAAACACTGAAAACATATTTCGGTATATGTATATGTCCTTCAGCAACCCAATGCCTACTACAAGGAAGCCGAGAAAATAGAGTGGAGCAGGAAAGAAACAGGAAACATTGCGACTTCAAAGCTTCACCAACAAGCCTGAGGAAGACAGAGACCAAGAGAAATATAGAGACATAGCACCCATCAATCAATCCGGGGTTCCTTCTCTTGTTTTCTTTTTCGTTGCCTTACTTTCTGAAATTGGCCTTCGTTCTATCATTTGACTCCAAGTTTTGCACCACTGACTGTGAACATCAAGCATTTTAACTTTCAAATAAGTTGGAAATGCATGTGGATTCTATGTTCCCATGACAACCCCTCTCGCATGTTGGGAACACATGAACCACACCGGTGTCCAAGGTGTCGCAAGTGAAATGAGAAACTGGACCTTGCGTTTGGTCCCTCCTATTGAGCACATCAACTGGGTTGAGCCGGTGTTTGTTTCTGCTGGAGACGTCAATAGCAACGCGGCCAAAACGAGCGTTGTGTAAAATCCGCGTGGCGCGCGCGGCATTTCGGCTATGTCTGCAGGGCCACCTGGGAATGTGTTGCTGCGTTGATCGGTGGAGTGGGGCTAATGGCGTTCGTCGTGGACGCCAACGGCAACGACGTTGCAAGGTGGATCATTGCTGCGGCAGGCTGTTTGGGGGGGTTGGGGTGGGGTGCGGCGGGGTCAATTGATGACGTCTGTTGTGGATGCAATGGCAACAACATCGCCTTGTGGATCTTTGTGCAACGACATTGCTGCCGGGTCATTCTATGATGCAATGGACTTTCTGCGCAATGTATATTGACATATGATTATGATATGGGCATTTAATGTTTGTAGCGTCCATATTTTGTCAAACTTGTCATCCACACACGTGGGGTGGGGTGGGGTGGGGATAGTGACGTTCGCTGTGGACGCTACGGCAACGACAACAGGCTGCTTTTTGTTAGAAAGTACATGGGAAGTGGCTCGGGCTGCGCCTTCACCGAATGTACTTCTTCAAGAAGAGTGTCCGAACGATCCAGAGATCAGATGGTTCATTGCCGAATGCACACGAACCTGTTGTGAATGGATACACGGGTGTGTTCATGGAACCTTACTTTCATACAAATGGGTACGGAAAAACAATTGTTTTTACCATAACGCCTTGGTTTTTCGATTGCCAAGGAATTGTGGAAAGCAGGTAACGCAGACAGAGATCAAAGGAGGTGACGAATGGACAAGAAATAGCAAAACGCGGACGCGGAACGAACAGTTTGTGCCATCGCACCAGACAATCAATTTTGCAACGCGCCATTTATTCAAACTTATGCCAATCTCAGCTGCTCAAGCAACGCATAGACATGATTCTTCTGTGGTTGTTGCACTGAAAGTGGTTCTGTCGCCACGCTGCCTTATCTTGTCTGAGTACGGGCCCCAAATATCTCCGAAGAGGTCGGCAATATGTTTTGCAGAACTAGTTCTCCTGACGGTTGTAGCAACATTGCAGCAAGAGTCAATCAGAATGAATTAGCATGAGCAGTGGGAGGGAGAACCCTTATGAAGCGCAAACTGGAAGTGTGCTGGAAGCGGCAACTTGGTTTGGTTCAGAGACGACATGTGCAAAACTGTTGTGGTCTTCGGGAGTTAAACAGCTGAACCATGACATTGTCAGCGCCTTATTCAATGTATTTCCCCAAACAGTGTGGGCACACTGAGGGGTTCTTACGGTAGGGGAAAGGAAGGTGTGCTTGGATCGCTGTTCCGCCCGGGCGTGTGCGGCTGATTCGCTGCTATTTACAGTACATTCATGACTCTCGACATCGTCCATGTGCACTTCGACTGCGCAGGCTCCCTGAATCTGGGCGTCCGCGGCGGGTGCTGCAGGCGGCTGCGCTCTTGTTGTGGCGCCGCGCGCATTTCGGAACATGGTGGTCACTTTTCGTGGCAGGTGCAAGGGAAGCCTCGTGTTTTGGTGCTCCAAAGCCGGCTTTTCGTGACAGGTGCAAGGGATCGGAGCTGTTTGACTTCGAAATGCAGTTTTCGTGGCAGGCGCAGCGCTTTGGACATGGTGGTGATCGTCAAAGAGCTCAGATTTCGTGACAGGTGCAGTGAATCGTGACTATTGGACATTTCGTGGCAGGCGCAGCGCTTGGTGAACCTCGAAGTACAGATTTCGTGGCAGGCGCAGCGCTTTGTGAACCTCGAAGTGCAGATTTCGTGACAGGTACAGCACTTTGTGAACCTGGAAGTGCAGATATCGTGGCAGGCGCAGCACTTTGTGAACCTTGAAGTGCAGATTTCATGACAGGTACAGCACTTTGTGAACCTCGAAGTGCAGATTCGTGGCAGGGGCAGCACTTGGTGAACCTCAAAGTGCAGATTTCGTGGCAGGCACAGCACTTGGTCGACCTGGAAGTGCAGATTTCGTGGCAGGCACAGC